TTCTCAACCCACTTCATTGACCGTAATTTAAGCTTTAACTTTGGAATTGTGGGGAAAATAGGAAATTGGTTGACATGCTCTCTGTTGTTAAAAAATGGTTTCTTTTGAATGCTATTCATGTCCAATATTTCTATGAAAAGTATGGAATGTACAGTCTTTATTTACATGAATGTAGAAGTAAATAATTTTTTTTATAACCTTGGTGTTGCGACGAGAAGCTGAGCTGGCTAGAAGTAAAGGGATTCAATTGAAGTCCCTTCGTCAAAAAATTATACTATGCAAATAGAGAAAGAAAACGAATTTTTTTGGTTATATAGAAATTGTTGAATCCCCTTGACATAAGGAAAAAAATCTTGTGTAGTAACAAAAGGGGTTAAAAAATTGTTTTAGATCACAAGTGCTTAGACATTGTAGTATTTTTTGGAAGCCCCTTCTATAAATTCCTGGTTCCACCACTAGTTCGAGCCAGCTTGTATAGTTGAGGCAGTGGATGAGCGTACCTACTGCCTCTGGCTCGAGCTATATAGTTGAAAAAAAAATATTGTAGTTAAATTAAGTCCGAATCAATTCTTATATAGGAGCAGTAAATGAAGGAAATTCTACATTGACCTTTTTCTTTTGGCCACTTTGTAAAGCTGTCAATTGCTCGCTTGTACTGATATTTTTGAGAAGGTAATGTAAATTTATAGATTAATAAGCACCAAGAAGATACTTTGGTATGTACAAATGGCTGCCAAAAGGAAAGATCAAAAAGTATCCTTTCTATACATGTAGGAATTCAATGAATTTTAGGATTATTTTGGCTTCATTTACAATTGCTCGCTTGCACTGATGTTTTTACCCTTTTCATTAGCTCCCCCTTTCTGATTAAAACTGAGCTTTCTTAGTTCAACAATATGGATGATGGTGCCCCGGGGGCGGAGACAGGACTGTAGACAAGGGGATTCAAATGATAAAATGTCACAGTGGGGAGTTGAACCGATGACCTAAAACATTTTTGAATCCTCTTTGTCACTACAAAAGAAACTTCCCTTGTGTTAATGGGATTCAGCAATCAATATATGTACAATTAGAAAAAGAGTTCACCTTTGCACAATGTATATTTCTGGCAAAGCAGATTCAATGGACCCCGCATGAGTCAATGTGGCTCCGCCACTGGGTTCCCTGAAGACACTGTACTGATAAAAAGACGAGTAGTGTTTGTTCTTTTCTAGTCCTGCTCGCAGTTGCTGATGAGTATTTGTGCTGGTAATCTAGGACGGGTTATTCCTGTGAAAAGGAAAAGACAAAAATTTAGATAACTCCCTATTTGACCAAGACTTCTAGCAAAAATATCCTCCATTTTATGTCTACATTTGCCTTTGCATATTTCAGTTATACAATGATAGGTTGAGTTTCCTTAGGCCATTTGCTTTAGTTTTAGAGTCCGGAATTTTAATGCTGGTTTCTGTTGCATATACAGCAAGAGACAGAAAGGAAGAAGTACTATTTTCTTGTTGCAAATGCCAAATTTATGCTGGACGAAGAGGAGCATTTCCAGGAGCAATTGTTTGAGCGTCTTCGCCTTTTTGGAGAGCGTAACAAAGAACAGGATTTCTGGCTTGTAATTGAGCCCAAGTTCTTGGATAAATTCCCTAATATTACCAAGAGACTGAAGAGACCCGCTGTAGCTCTTGTTTCAACCAATGGCACATGGATCACGTAAGGGGCGCTCATCTTTAAATAATTGACACACTAATTACTCCATTTTCCTGTCTGTATGAAAAGCAGAGTCTTTAATAAGCAAGTTATTATCACGGGCAAAGGGTAAATATAACTCTCTACTATATAATATTTAAATTTTATCCTCAATTATACTTTGAGATCATTAATATCCTTGTAGTTAGCAAATTGTATCTTAGTTGCCCTAAGCCCTAACGGAGCTCCAACTTGAAGTATAATGGAGGGTAATTTTATAGTCAAATATAGAATGGCAAATTTGGATCTTTTTCCTAAAACTTCTTGACACGTGGAATCCACGCAATCCATCCTGGAGCTCTATTAAAGTCAAGGGCTTACGAGATAATTTACGAATGGCGAGGATTGAATAACCCCAAAGTATAACAGATAGTAAAATTATGATATTTTGTATAGTCGATGGCTATGTTGCTCGGACTCTCTGAAAATATCGTCAGGTGCATATCGGATCCTTTAAAAGTATTGTATTTTTGGAGGATCTGATACGGGTGCGACATCATTTTGGAAAGTCCGCGCAACATAGGTATAAGGACAAAATTTGCACCTTTTCTATATTTCACCTGATTTGCTTTTTCGGAACTTGCAGGTTCATGAAATTGAGGTTAGATAGAGTTTTACAAGAGAGCTTTGAGGCTGACAGTACAGAAGAAGCTTTGGCATGTACTCCTGTAAATCTTGAGTTTGAAAAGCCAGAAAAATGGACAGCACCATACCCGAAGTATGAATCTGGTTGGTGGGAGCCTTTCTTGCCCTCCGGATCTCAGACATCAAAGGTATGATTGTCAAACGTCATCCACAAATTAAACTCGGCAGTAGTGTTTGTTGGTCTGGCGATGAACAGTTAGTTTGAGAAGTTATGTAAAGAGATGGTGGGGGAAACACGATTGTAGGCTGTAGGTGAAGATGTTTGTAGCTCCTCTGAAGAATTGTACGATAAATGCCTAATTTATGTAGCTTCTGAACCCCGCCTTACGAGATTCAGGAAATAAATGAAGAATATGGAGCATTGTTACTTAGCACGAAAAAGCATTGTGAACATAAATGTAAAAGATCAGTAATGACCTAGCAGTTATCCTTGATTTACATTTATGTCTATATTAATGTATTTCCAGTATTGGGTTTTCCTGATAGTTTTTGATGTGAAGTAAGAATCCTTTTCTTTGGTTCCTCAGTTATATTTATGGTTTTATATTGTTCTTGTACTGTACTAGATGTTAAAATCATATGGCTCTGTTTAGGAGAAAAACTGCTTCTGAACTGAGGAGAAAAATTTGAAAAATCTGGAGTCTGTTGATTTTACTTGAGAATTGTTGTTGGTTTTTATCTCTCACCAACCCAGAAAAGTTCCTAAGACAGGGAAACTGGGTTGAATTTGAGTCGATATTTGCGACTTTGTTACTCCAATTTCCTGAAGAAAAATAAGCAATAATATGTAAACTACTGTTGAGTGTACACATTAAGGCAATTACAATGCCACTGTGTTGAGCTCTCCAAGTTCATCTAGTGGAACTCTCATAATTCCAGTCTGTATTTGATTTTCAACAATAAAAGATTGACTTGGTGAAAGTAGACAATCACACCTGTAATACAACTGACCAACAAAAGAAAGAAAGAAAGGAAGGATGGGATGTAGAAATATTAAAGCTTAACCAATCTTATCCTGTTAAGTGTCTTACATTGATTGAGGGAACGAGTTGTTGCCTTCTTATATGGATTTAGACAATCTTCACCTCATGAGCGAGCTTTTGAGGTTGAGTTAGTCTCAATGTCCATTTTTTTTACATGGTATGAGAGTCAAACTCGTACCTGTTCTTATTTTACCTAATGTAGATATCCAGTCTTGGTCGTGCGAGGAGAGGGCAGGCGTTAAGTGTCCCACATTGATTGAGGGAATGAGTTTCTTTAGATAATCTTGGCATCACCTCACGGACTTACTTTTAAAGAGTTAATTTGCGCATGTAAAACAAAAGAAAATTGAAGTCCGAAGAGCCTATTAAGTGTCCTACATTAGTTGAGGGAATGGGTTATTGTCTTCTTATACGGTATTAGGCAATCCTCACCTCATGAGTGAGTTTTCGAGGCTGAGTTAGTTTCAATGTTCATTGTCTTTACATGGTATGAGAGTCGGACTCAATCCTGTTCTTGGTTTACCTAATGTAGATATCCAATTTTAGGCGTGTGAGGAGAGGAGAGGTGTTACATAATTTTAGCAATCCTCACGAGCTAGTTTTTGAGGTTAAGTTAGGCTCGAGGCCCTTTTTTTTTAAAACCGACTCTCCTGCGTAGAAGCAATATCTGCCTGGTACTAGAACAGTCATCAGTGCTGCTTGCTGTCATTAAAGGAACTTTGGTTGGTTTCTGATTCTTAAGAACCTTTTCATCCTGTGACTGTATTGTCTCTTTAGTTCTTCTTTAGCTTTTTGTGCATAGGCATCCACTTGATTATCATGCTTCTCATATAATTCAGAGGTACTGTTAACTATAACAGCTTGACAAGTATTGTACAGAGAAGCAAAAGTGGTTAGTTTTCTTGGTGAATAACCATTGACAGATACTTAAGACACTGGGATGCTTACCTTCCTTAAAATTCTTAGTCTCCTCTTATTTATAGTTGCAGAGATGATCTCTTCCTCCTAAACAGAGACTCACACTAGTTTATGCTCGATCATATGGGGTATGGCAAAGTGCAAGACTTTGGTAAGCCGGATATCTTCAATGTTTCGCCAATACAGGTATCGAACAACTCTGCACCCGAGACTTAGGCAGATAGAAAGAAATCACCTAATATTTTTTTTCCCTGTTAGGATTTGAACTATGATTTTCACCCATTTAATTAACCTTTAGACCCCACCCTTCGGTATAGAAATGCACTTAGATTTTTCTGTCTCTTATTTTATTTAGCTATATGAGAATCTAAAAATTTACAAATTTCATTATCCTTCATGTAAACATTTTATAAATAGCAGTTTTAGGATTTAAGATCTCAATCAAGATAGAGAGATATACAGAGAGAATAAAAAGAAAACGAAGAATATTAAGCAATAGGTTTTTCTTGTTTCAACTTCAGAAAAAGCTGGCAAATAAAAAATTAAACCAAGTCCCCTCTTATTTTACTAGAAACAAGGTTCTACTGTTTCTTCTTGGCCATGCCATGACATTTCTGTAGCACTTAAAGCGTTGTTTCTAACTTCTTGAGTGAAATATCAACTATAAACTAGGTTATACCATTTCTTCTTGACCATGCCATGGCATTTTTGTAGCGATTAACGCGTTGTTTCTAACTTCTTGAGTGAAATATCAACTCCATATTGAGGCTCAATGACAATACCAAGTTTAGGGGAGTGAACATAAGTTGGTGAAAGTCTAAATGTGAAGTTAGACACAATAAGGGAGATCAATATTTTGAGCTCAGCCAAAGCCAAAGGTAGTCCAGCACAAACTCTAGGACCAACTCCAAAAGGCATAAAAACATGTGGAACTTTGCAAGAATTTGATATTCCATTTGCAAATCTCTCTGGATTAAATTCATAGCTATCTTGTCCCCAAATTTCTGGATCAGTGTGTAATGCCATTACCATTGTCCAAACATTCATACCCTTTGGAATTTTCACATTTCCAAATTCCATATCCTTAAATGCCTCCCTAGCTAGTATTGGCACAGTTGAGTAAAGGCGTAATGATTCATTAATCAACATCGTCAACTGCAAATCAAAATAAACATTACTGTTAAAACTTGAAGAATTAACCTAAATAGCCGCTCACCCAACAACTTAAACTAAAAATAGCCGACAGATGTATATCATATGTATACTATGTATATAATCGTCTATAATTAGAGTATAATTTATGTATATTGACTACGAAAAGTAAATAGTGAATCCGACTAGCTATTTCTGTAAAGATCCCTTACAACTTTATCCTCTTTCTGAGCTCTATCACTCTTTATGAATAGTGGTGGTAACCATAGTCAAATATACTTTATCCTTACTAGAAGACGAGTACATGCAAGGACCGTAAGGTTATTCTAGGAGAAGCGATGACCACCCAGCTAGGTTTGTACTCTTAGATATAAAGCTTAAGAGTAGAGTGAGAAAAGAGATAACTTGAAAACCACCCCATATTAGGTGATGGGTGTTAAAGGGTGCTAACCAATCAACATTTCAAGAAAAGGTACAGAAGAAAGGAGCTTGAGACTTAGAGGGAGACTTAGACATCCCGTGGAAGAAAATATCAGGTTGCATTAAAGAAGTTGCAAAGGAAGTACTAGGGGTGTCTAAAGGTCTAGGACCTCGGCCACAAGAATTTTGATGGTGGAATGAGGAGGTATAAAGAGTTATTAAAGCTAAAAGAAGATACTATAGAAAGTTGTTAAAAGCAAAAGATGGAGAAGCCTTTGAAGAATATAAGAGAGTTAAGAAAGAAGCTAAGAAGGTGATTAGTAAAGCTTGAGGGAAAACTCTAGATGGATTGTACCAAAACCTAGAAACAAAAGTAGGGAAAAAAGAATTTTTTAAACTAGCACGACTAATAGAGAAGAAAGGCAACAAGTATTGACCGGAGATAAAAAGATCAAGGAGAGATGGAAAGAATATTTTGATCAATTGTTCAACTCAAACCAAGAGGATATCATTTTAGATATTCAGGCGTCTATGTATGATAGAAACTTTAGCTATACCCGTAGAATTAGGCTGATAGAAGTAAAAGATGCTATGAAAAATATGAAGGTTAAAAAGGCTTGTGGTCCATATAGTGTCCCTATTTAAGTTTAGAAGTGTCTTGCAAAGATTGGAGTAGAATAGCTCACAAAGCTATTTAATGCCATACTAAGAAGTGATAGGATGCCTGAAAATCGGAGGAAGAGTACCTTGATTCTAATCTTTGAGAACAAAGGAGATATTCAAAGTTGTGGGAACTATCATGGCATTAAACTCTTGTCATATAATTAAACTCTGAAAAAGAGCAATAGAGTGTAAACTTAGGAATACGACAAGAGTGACAAATAATCAGTTTGCGTTCATATCCGGTAGATCCACAATAGAGGCTATATTCTTGCTAAAAAAATTAATAAAAATTTATTGCGAAAGGAAGAAAGATCTACACATGGTGTTTATTGACTTATAGAAAGCATATGATAGAGTACCTGGGAAGGTCCTTTGGTGGGTGATAGAAAAGAAAGAAATTTATATTAAATATATAAATATCATAAAGAACATGTATAAAGGAACTGTCACTAGCGTGAAAATAATAGTAGGAGATATAAAGGAGTTTCCCATAATAGTGGATCTACACCAGGGTTATTCAATGAGCCCCTACTTATTAATTTACTGTAGTTATAATTGAGCTAACCATCAAAGTACAAGATGAGGTCTATGGTGTATGCTATTTGCTGATGATATTGTATTAATTGATAAAACTAACGAGGGTTTCAACCAAAAGCTTGAGCAATGGAGAAGAGTAAGACTGAATACAGCATGAGAAGAGTGAAGATGAGGTGAGACTAGATAGAATTGTGGTGCCAAAATACAAATAATTTAGATATTTAGGCTCATTATTTCAAGAGATTGGAATGATAGATGAAGATGTTACTCAAAGAATTAAAATTGGACGGTTGAAATAGAGAAGTGCTACCAGGGTATTATGTGATAGAAGAATGCCGACCAAGGTGAAAAATAAGTTCTAGAGAACAACTATAATATCAGCTACATTATGTGGTAGTGGATATTTGGTGGCTAAAATTTAACATGCCCATTTACTGGTATTTTCTTATTTTCAGTGTGACAATATATATA